AGTAGCGCCACTACGCCATGTCCAACGTCACGACACTATTAAGATCAGATCCTGATGGCAGCTTCCGATTAGACTGCCACTATGATGGTTAGTTTACATGGTACCCGCCTCTTCAGCAAAGCCCCAATACCTTATGTCGAGCCGAAGTGCCTTAATTGACTGGAGATCAGGCTTTGAGCCACGCATCATATCGTGTTAGTCGACGTGGCGTCCACCATATTATCAACACCCCGTCGATGTGCCCAAAGCCACGATGCGCTGACTTATTGCCCTATAAAAGGGACAACTTTAAGCTACCCCAAGGGTTGGACTTTTTTGGTTTGGTTTGGCATGGCCGAGCTTTTAAATCCATCGAAGTGTTGGTTTGTTGCAGCCCCCCTTCCTCTTCCAACTACAAAAGCATGTGATCCTCTCTCGCCTCCCTGTCTTTCTAATCCTAGACGCAGTCTCTCAACGCTAATGTTGTTGTTCGTGGTGGAAATAAAAGCCGGTGACTCAGTCTTCCAGGCCTTACAACTTCGGAGTTCATTCAATCGTTGTGGGTGATATTTTTTTTTCCCATTGTGATTTCCTTCTTAGGAAAGTTGCTAGAGAAAGTATGTGAGATTGTTCTTAGAGGATACCCAGGTTAGGTTCTCCTGTTCCCTGCCATAGTTGGGCCTTTCTTAGTGCTCCCTTGAGTCTAGGGCCTTAGTTTGCCCTAGTGTCATGGCGCTACCCTTTGGGTATCATGGCACTGACCTCTCTCCGTACGCAATAATCGCTCCATGCAGCTCTCAACTCTAGCCCCTCCAATACTACGACATATGTGATCAACTATAGTCTACATTGCTCACATCTCATGTAGCTCCCAACTCCATTACTTGCGACCTACGAACGTTATTAACGCTCCCCGCTATGATCTATGTGACCAAATATGAACTATATGACTCACGACTCATGCAAATCTTAACTTCGACCTCAACAACATATAAACATTATTGTAGCTCACCACTACAACTCACACGACTAATTTTGGCCTACATGACTCACATCTCATGTAGCTCTCAACTTCGTCCATTTGTGTCCTACGAATGTTATTACAGCTTCTCACCATGATATACGTGACCAACTACAATCTAAGTGGCTCACAACTCACACAACTCCCAAGTCTTTCCTCTGCAGACTACGAATGTTATTACAACTCCCTGTAAGTCTTACAGCTCATGTAGCTCCCAACTACGATCTTTGCGATTTATGAGTGTTATTTCAGCTCCCTATTGCGACCAATGTGACCAATTACAATCTATGTGGCTCACAATCATATAGCTCCCTCCACATTACATGGTTAACTACTACCAAAACTTTTGACTACAACCTCTACGACAAGCTGACGGTACAGCTTTCGCTTGCAACATTCACGTTAAACTACTTTCTTTATAGCAATTGTCTACAACCTTCACGGTTTACAACTATTACTGTTAAAAAATCGTTGTACATCAACATTATAATTTCATCTTCTTCAATTCAAAATGAGAGTGAGTCTATGTACTTACAATTCCTTAGTGAATTACTTCAACTAGGTATAACCCATAAATTTTTTTCCCTTTATAGGGTTTTCCACCTAAAAATTGAAGTGTATCCTTTTCTTTACTTATATTTTATCTGTGTTATCTGTGCATATGTTGGATCTTCGTTCAACACAGAGATGATAATCTATTTTTCTACCACGGTGATTCGCCCGACACACATCAAGACTTATAGTGCCTCCATATTGTTAACCTTCCGCATTGCATTTATACAATCCAAATTGGGTATTCCAATATGTTAAAGCTTTGCAGCATTAAAAAATAGTTTTTGTTACTACCCAGAGAGATACGAATATTGTTTATCCAACATGTTATGACAATTATCTGCACGCAGTTTACTTCCTTCGATAGCTACACCTAAGTAATCCCATAATAAAACAATATTGTTGGAATACTCTATGTATATCTATCTGTGTGCTTGATGTCGCCTATTGGATTGTATTTTTGACAAAGGGTTAATGCGGCATCATGTATTTAAGCTAAATTAACATCTCAATGATGCCAATCAACATAGTGATTGTCATAACTCTACCTAACTCTACCTTGATGGGAGGGAGCGACCGTTTAGTGTAATTAATTTGAAATTATAGTTTTGCACTTAATTTATATTTTTGGATGACATGGACTTCAATGTCCAAAAATAAGGGGCGACTGATGTGCCATGAAGAAAATTATATATTTAGGCTTGAACCTCGATGCATTTTCAGCGGAAAAATTCTAAATTTAAAATCATTAGTATGAGCTTTGATTTCAATAAATTTATAGTCAACAGGACGTCTTGACAAGACAAACTTACTGACACTAAAAGTGATTCAACCAGTATTAAATCAAGCCCATGTCAAGTATTTGAAGTATAATTTTAAACTTTGAAATATTAATTAGAAGAGCAAATGAACTTTGAGTTTGTGAGACTTATAGTAAAATCAACCTCGATAAAAGAAATCTAGCATGCATATGATTATTTGATTTTGAGATCATTAACATATTTAAAAGCTAAAATAAAGATCTATAATCAAACAAATCAACACGTTCCGTTTCATAGAGTGATTTGGGAAATTAAGCAAAGGGACGAATACTGAAAATTACAATTAAAGCTTAACAATTGAAGTCTTAGCGATTATCACTAGTCATCTTAAATTGTCGCTGACCACTAGAGGTTATCATTGACCACTAGAGATTGTTGTCAATCACCAGAGATTTTCACCGACCTAAGTTGTCGTCTTTGACCACCATATATCATTGTTGACTGTCAGATGTTGTCATTAACCGCCAAAGATTAACATCGACTCTCAAAGATCATAAACGACCACCTAAGGCCATTTTCAACCACCTACAGTGCTTTTGTAGCCCAGTTATTATTGTAGAGCGATTATTGCTCGATCATTACTCTATAATCCCACATGCTTTATTTAGAAATGTGTTAATATGTAACTAAAATTATATAATGAATTACTTCCCTAATTTTTTCCCTTTTAAGTTTCTTACTTAAAAAAAAAATGTCTCGTCCCGACTTATTTTCTTATCAGTGTGTGAAATGGCATCTGATGCAACACTAAAATAATAAATAATTACTATAACTCCTCGAATGCCCTCTCACACAACAATATTTACACATTCATACATTAAAAATAAATAAATAAATAAAAAAATATTAATTTATTAATTAATTCTTTTGAAACATAGGAACTTATTAAACTACATAGACCTTATGCATGTACGAGCTAGAAGATGACTAACAAACACAACAATCTTAAATAATGCTCAATAAGGCGCGGTCAAGATAATTTGATTAGATAACAAGTAGCTTGATCATAAATCTAATGAATATTATCATTTAAAAGCTTGTGAACTTATTTAATTAAGGCTCAAATAAGACTCGTTTATCTTGTTAAATGAGAGGTTGCTTATAAACTTGTTGAACATTAGAAGAATCAAGCTCGAGCTTGAGCACAAACATCATTCTCATATTCAAGCTCGAGCTTGAACGCTAATCTAAATGCTTGATTCAAGCATGAGTCGAGCTTGAACAAACTTCAAACAAACGAGCTCGAGCTCTACTCAGCTCGGTTTGTTTGCAGCCATACCTTGGGTTTGACCCAAGTTAGCCTGTCAATTTTATGCTAATGATTTAATTTAAGCTGACTCAAAAAACTAAAGATGTTAATATTTTGGGCTCAAGTTGATTTGTGTGTTGTCAATTTTTAGACACTACTTAAAACTAATTACTCTCTTAGAGCATTTATATACATAGCACATAATTGTTATGTATTTACGTATCTAACAACTAAATTCTTATATTTACGCACATAGCACTAAAATCATTAATATTACATAAAAAAATGACACTATTATCACTCTTTAAAAGTGAAATGCATATTTACATACATAATTTTAAAAACCAGTGTTATGTATGTAAATATAAAAGTTTAGATATTAGAAATGTAAAAACATAAGAATTGTGTGTTGTGAAGCCGAGTATATCATAGTTCAGACTTAGCTTGGTATAATTATAAGTTGTTCATGTTCAGCTTGAGCTTGCGTCGAGTTTTCATATATCGTTCTAGCTTAATTTGTTTAATTTTTTTAATGTTTGAACTTGATTTGTAATTGATTTGTTTATGACAAGTGAAGGATTATTTAAACTAGCTTAAATCTCAAACAATATCTAGATTTTCAAATAAAAATAATAATAATAAATAATTTTACAAATTTGATTACAACTATTAATTAATTGATTATAAACGCTAAACCCTACAATATCTTAAATTTAATTTCTACTCCATTTTTTTTTTCTAAATCTCCCGCTTATGAGATGTTTAGTGGAATGATTTGTGTAGCATTTAACCATAATTTAGCTTAAATCCTATCAAACAACGAAAAATAACAACTTTAAAACCTACAAAGACTTAATATCGCTTATGAGACGTTTAGTGGAATGATTTGTGTAGCATTTAACCATGATTTAACTTAAATCCTATCAAATAACTAAAAATAACAACTTTAAAACCTACAAAGACTTAATATCAAATATTTATATAATCAAGTATTTATATATCAGATATAATACAAGCTATCAACAAATAAGCTAATATTCTAATTAATTAAAATTTTATTTAAATAATATGTCATATATTATAGATCAATCATCGAACTTAATATTGAGTATTTCGGAAAACAAATGAGTTTGTTTATGAACATAAATGAACAAATTCGATACGATCTATCATCAAATTTAATATTGAGTATTTCAAAAAATAAATGAGTTTGTTTATGAACATAAATGAACAAATTCGATTATGTTCATGTTTAGTCCATTTAAAAATCAAGTTTTTAAAAATAATTCAAGTTTATTTATTTATTAATTTGAACTAGCATGTTCTGTTAATCGAGTTTATTTATAATCCTGTGTCATATGAAGTAGAACAAAGTGTCAACGAACTGCGCTAAATCTGTACTCAAGCCGCCCTCATGGCTTTTTAGTCAGTGACAGAAAACTTGAACCTTTTTTTCTTTCCCATCGCTCCTCAGGCTGGTTCTAGCCCCATTCCTCACAGGTTCGATTGATAGACATGGGTATTCCCTCAGATCAGAAGGATGTTTGGGCAAGCAAGAGATCTCCTTTCATGGCGGCAGCTTCTCCCAACGAGCCCAGGGGTATCGATAGCAAGGCATCTCCAGCTCAAGGTACCGTTCTTCCTAAATCGCTTTCTTGTAAGAATTTGCCGTCTTCTTAGATTGTAGAATCGATTGTGCGTTTCTGTCTGATAATCTTGATTTGGAAGACGAGGTTTCAGTCGAAATTTGGTGATTGTAAAGATCGCTGCACTGTTAAAACCCCTTTCGGCTATTTTTCTTTAATTTCTTCTGTTATCATTAGTTTTTCTCCAAATCAGTCCTTAAATTGTTTGTCTAGATTGTTATCCCTCAATATAGTTGTCTACATCCATTGATTTTGCATTTCTGATATTTATGCAGCCTTATTTTTTGCATTTTTGGCCTCTTTTTTCAGAAGCAGTTCAGAAAGGATTCAAAATGGCCCTCTTAGCAGGCTCTGTAGCTGCAGTTCCCACGGTTTGCTTACACTTTCTTTCTTCGATATAAAAATCTCAACTTTCTTTATTTTAGGGGTTATTTGATAAAGAATTTACTAAGGAGGTGTTTGGATGCAAGTAGGATTTAAGTCAAATAGGGGTTAGTAAATCCTATAAATCCCAATTTATCAAGTCCAAATATTAATGTTTGGTTCAATTAAAATTAAATCTAGTTGAATCCATTTGACATGTTTGGCCTAAATCACTTTGAAGTGTTTTCTTCTTAAGCTAAGTTAATAAATCCAGATTTACGTCATAAAATAAGCAGAACTAGAAAAATTAGATTTAATTTAGCGTCAGATTTATCTAACCCATTTATAGCGTTTGCTTGATTTACTTTAAATTAATACGTAAATCCTATTAAAAGTATCGTAAATACGGGACTTAAGGCAAAACTATGAAGAAATTGAAATTACTAATTCCAGGATTTAAAAGTTGTCATTTTTTTATGTTTGGCATGATTTAAGTTAAATCAAACTTTAAATCTGTTACCAGACGACCCCTAAAAATGCAAATATGCATTTGTTATTCATACTATATGTTATGAGAATTTTGCCTACATGACTCTAGACATGTAATAATGGAGGAATTGTGTATGTGAATGATATGATTTATTTTTTGATGATCATATTAGTCTTCATACTGTATTTTCCTTGGTAATATTTTTGCCGCAGTTGGTGGGTTGTCGAGTCGTTCCTTGGGCTAAAGCAAATCTGAATTATACTGCACAAGCTCTTATCATATCTGCAGGTAATATATTTTAATTTGCTTGTATGCTCCATTGTTTTCACATAAGCAATAGTTGACTCTGATGCTCATTGTCTGTTCAGAATTGAATATCTTCATTTAATCAGCAAATTAGGTTGGTTCTGTTAAGGCGTTATGCAACATGACTATATATATGTATAGAGTCCACAAACTCTTGCATGTATTTGTAAGTAGTAATGGTTCTCACAAAGTTTATACAAGACACCATAAAATGCACAAAATTGTTCCAGAATCCAAATTTCAATCTAATTAAGGGGTAAGAAAATAGAGAAGCTGATGTGGAGAAGAATTCTTGATTCAAGAAATTTTTTATCTTCCTCATTTTAATCTTAAAGGATGGCTTGCGGAATCTATAAAAACCGGAACTTGTGAACTTGGTATTCTCTGTGATAGCTTCGCTGAATTTCTGGTCTGGGATTGGAATTGGCTATAAAAATCCATCCACTTATGCAGAAATTTATCAAAAGGATAATGACAGAAAGTCCAATTGTGTGTCAAATTGAGTGCAGGTCGGGGCTCTGGTCTGACCTGAATTTAATCGACCCGAAAGTGTTTGATCCAAACCTGACACAAATATTAAACAAGTCAGAAAGACCGACCTTAACACAACCCGTCTTCAACCTACTAACCCAAACTTAACTCATATATCTAGTTTAACTTAAGATAGTAACTCTTTGGATTAAATTTGAGTCAGTCTTGGGTCAATTTTGGGTTGATGAGTCGACTTAGATTAAATTTCGGGTTAGTAGGTTAGTTTTAGTTTGGTGGGTCAATTTGAATCCCGTAATATTAAATGGGTTAGAATTCCTAACCAAACCCAACTCGATTTTCGAGGTGAATTCGGGTTGAGTTGGCTTGTAATGTCAACCCTACTGGCAAATGTGAGTGTTCTTGTTTAAAATTACACCCATTGTTGGCTTAAATGTCATCCAAAACGCCTCGAAGTTTGGTCTCTCGATTCCCTAGCCTTCTCTAGACTGCTTATGTGTCTACATATATTCACCTAAACATCGATTTTTACATATTTGCCACCTTACTTATGCATAAACTTTATTTCATCATTTTAAAAGTTAAAAAGTTGCAATTTTTTATGTGATACGAAAAATTTGGGCGGTATAAATGTAAAATAGTAGAGTTTAGATGTTAGATAGGAATTGGGTGGTATTTATATAAATGCCCCATTTTCTTATCAAACCCATAAACATCATGAAATTTATTGATTACTAGTATAGTGACCAATTTGTGACACTTCAAATATTTCTTTGCTGAAATCTTTTAGGCCCAAAGGTAGATGCAAATCTTTTCCCCTAATTGTCCTTATCATAACTATAGTGTTGGTATCCTTAACATTGTAATTGCAAGATATTTGTAGGCACATAAACTTTTAGGGGCATTTACATTCATGCCATACAATTCTTATAAATTTGCATAGCTAACACTTAAATTTTCATATTTACATAAATACCACTTAAACCTTTGACATAACATTAAAGATGGTAGTATCACTAACTTATTAATAGTGAAATGCTCCTTTTCACATACATGTTTTTTAATATTAAAGTGTTATAGATGTGAAAATCAAATTTTAGCTTTAATTATGTTTGTAACTTTCCCAAAATTTAACATTTCAAATTAAAGATGATAGTATCACTAACTTATTAATAGTGAAATGCGCCTTTTCGCATACATCTTTTTTAATATTAAAGTGTTATAGATGTAAATATCAAATTTTAGCTGTAATTATGTTTGTAACTTTCCCAAAATTTAACATTTGCTCAAATTTTAATGGAAATATATATATTATAGCATACATACATACCACTCAATTCTTATGTACTTACAAAACTAATACCTAAACTTCAATTTTTACATATATGCCACCTTATATATGCACGAAAAACTGTAAATTTTTTTCTTAAAAGTTAAAAGAGTGGTATCTATGATTTGAAATGGAAGATTTGGGCGATATAAATGTAAAAAATAAAATTCAGGTGTTTAGATATGTAAATACATAGGAATTGGGTGGTATGTACATAAATGCACCTTAATTTCAATTTCATGAATCTCACTGTTCATTGATCTTTTTTTTTTAAGGTTATATAATTCTAATTCTCAATCATTAAAAAAGTTTATGATCAATTTTATCATCATAAGCTGCCACTTTTAACTACTGCATCATAATGGTTGAGGCCGTAGGCTCTCAGCGTAAAGTCACTGATTCGAATCACGCATATTACTCTTTGCGCTCACATTTCGCAATAAAAAATAAAAAACTTTGATGGCTATAGTTTCCACAAGCATCATTGTTATCTAATTACTTTCTCAACTCCATTAAGCATTCAATTGAATTATAACATCCTTATGGTTGAAATCTCCTTCAAATTGATATGAATGGAACTTTGATGGCTATATCAATTTTATCCGGAAGATTTACATGCATACCGCTCAATTCCTATCTATTTACATATTCGATACCTAAACTTGTACTTACGTACAAACCACCTTAGCTATACGTGAAGGTATATATTTCACCTTTCTGAAGTTAAAATTGTGATGTTTTCTATGTGATATGAAAGATTTGGATGGTGTAAGTGTAAAAAATAAAATTTTAGTGTCAGATATGTAAATGCATAGGAATTTGGTGGTGCTATGTAGATGCCCCTTTTTTTGGAAAAAATATTACGTGCATGAGGAGTTTGGATGCATCGGGACTTCATGTACAACGAAATTGTACACCTTTATACAACAATTTGTATAACATGCAGATTCTGCACATAATATTCTCTCATAAAGTTTTACTTAACCATTAAACCAAATCTTCACATTTTTCAGCTGCTATTTCTGCTTTCTTCATCACTGCCGATAAAACCATCCTGAAAACGGCGAGGGGAAACACGATAGGGAAGTATGACAAGACTTCTTGACATGAAGCAGCAGCTCCATATTGACAATGGCGAGGTTCTTTGACAGCACGAATCTTGATGTTTGAAGGTTTCAGTCATGGCGATTTTGTTTTTCTTTCTTCTCTTTATTTTCAGAACTGCATAGAAGTTTAGCCTTTCTGCTAACCAAATAGCGCTTTTTATGGAAGGTTTGATGTGAATAAATCTGTTAATCTTTTTCATGACTATTTGGTAAATTGAAATAAAAATTGAAGCTTTTTTTTTTTGGCTGATTCTGTGAAATTGCTGATTTTAATCTTATCATGGCTGAATTTTGTTTCTTAATGCATTTGAATTTGAATATTTTGTTTCTTAATTTGTTTTTTATGTTATGTGATACCTTTGAGAAGATGAATATATAATCTAAAGTTTGTTTGACAAGTTTTGCAGTGTGGAGCTTTAATTTTTGGTCATTTATGTAAAAATTGGAAATTAAGGGGCATTTACATAAAACCCACACGATTCTTTTGTATTGACACATGGAACCTATATAATTTAATATTTATGTGCATGACACTCAAGGACTTGACATTTTGTTAAAAATCATATAGTTTTATATTTACATTAAACATATGCATATGCATGAAAAGATGTATTTGATTTTTTAGAACTTAATAATAGTGATATTTTGTGTGTGATGTTATGACCTGAGTGTGAGAGATGTAAATATGAAAATTTAGCTGTTAGACATATAATTATACAAGAATTATGTGATGCTTACATAAATGCCCAACTAAAGAGGGATGTGTCGCATAACTATTTGCTGAAGATCAAATCAAATGGGCGTACCTTCAAGCAAACCATCTTGATATACATCATTAACAAATTTTGTTATTCAGCATAAATCTCAAGATGATTGGTATGAATCTCGGAGTATTTTTTTGAGTAGACAATACTTAAATGCAAATTAAAAATTATTCAAAACTTCAGTTTTAGCAAACCTGCAATTAAACTGACCGGCACGATGAGCTGAACACAGTGACGACAAAATTAGTCCGATCTGAGTCAAATCTAGCCCGAAAATCTAGTAATCCACTTTTGAATGCTTTGAGTGGCTAATTGGAAGATCAAATGAATTTTGAATCTGATTAACTTGTAGTTTAACCAAGCGTCTCAATAAGACGCATCTAACGAGCCTAAGATTACTCAATTCGGACATCATTAAGATATTTGAATATCTATAAAATGTAGTTTAATCATGAGAATCTCTCTGGTCGACCAGCCGACGGAATAGTTCAGATTTCGTCCTTATTTGCAGGGTAACCAGTCCCATAGTTTATAAGTAGAGTTTCACCCTCTTCATGAAAGTGCAAAAGAGGCAACTAAGACCAGAGAGGAAGAGTGAAGCTAGAGTTGGATTAGGAGGAGTTGAATTCAAGTGTTGTCCTGCACCAAAAGAGGAAGATAGAGACCGAGAGATGGATCGAGAAGAGAAATAGGAGAATCAGAAAGTCATTCTAGGTTCAAAGTCCTGGTGAGCACTTCTTAACTCCATAATTACCGACCACCATCTACCATCACCTGTCAGCCATCGTCGACGACCATCAGTCGCCCTTTGTTTGTTATAATGAAGCTCTATGCAAAGTAACAACCAACATTCCAAAGTAACAAAGCATCGTACGAAGCAGTGCATCATCCTAATCACTGTGCAATGATGCACACTGAAGAAGGCATAACTACTCACCCTGAAGAAGGTGCAATGACAACCCAAAAACGACATAACAACACACCTAAAGACGGTGTAACAATGAACCATGAATATGGTGTAACAACATACCTTGAATCCAATGTAACGAATGTTGTCACTACACTCTTCCTCTTCGTCCTTGGTGGCCAACCAACGCTCACCCTCTACTACAGCCTTTGAGGCCAACTAAACTATTGTCGCTCACAATTACGACACATGGTTTACAACTCATGCAACTCCCAACTCTGACCTCTGACCTACAGACATTATTGCAGCTCACCAATACAGCCTACATGGCCAACTACTGTCTGTGTGGTTCATAGCACATCAAGCTCCCAACTGCGGTCAATGTGGCTTGTAAAAATTATTACTACTCCCCATTATGGTTGATGGACCTACTACAATCTATGCGGTTGACAGCTCGTGTAGCTTCTAACTTTGACCTCCTACGGTATATGGACGTTATTATAGCTCTCTGCTATGGCTTACACGACTCATAACTCATGTAGCTCCCAACTCTAGCCTCTGCAAGCTACATACTTTATTACAGCTCACTGATACGAGCTATGTGACCAACTACGACCAACGTGGCTCATAGATCTTGCAACTCTCAACATCGACCTCTGTGACCTATGAACATTATTACAGTTGTCGCCTACAACCAACTATGACCTACGTGGTTCACATCTCATGCAACTGCTAACTTCAGCATTTGCGGTCTTTATACATTATTATAGCTCTCCGCTATAACCTACGTGGCTCACAACTCGTGCAGTTCTCAACTCTAGTATCTTTGTGGCCTACATACATTATTACAACACTTCAATATGGTCTATCTGACCAATGACAATCTACGTGGCTCACAACTCATATAAATCCCAACTATGTCCACATTGCTTACAATCGCTATTGTAGTTCGCCACTACGACCTACATGGGCATGAGCTCATGCAGCTCCTGACTCTGGCCTCTGCGGCCTACAAACATTATTACAACTCAGCATTATGAGTCATGTGACCAAATACAACATATGTGACTAACAACTCAGACATCTTAACTCTGGCCTCTACAGTTACAGTTCACCACTACAGTCTATGTAACAAACTACGACAAACGTGGCTCACAGTTTATACAACTCTTAACTTCTGCCCTTGCGACCTACAAATGCTATCGCAACTCCCTATTACGGCCGTTGTGGCCAACTGATGCTTCTGACACTACCCTAAACTTGCAATTACAAAATCTACGATAAGCTAGCACTACAACCACCGTCTATAACATAACATTCATGAGGCTACTGCCTTCATAGCCATGGACCACGACTTTTGCGACCCGTTATATCTATTTTTGTTGAGCTACTATTGTATATCAATTTTGTAACTTCATCTTCTCTAATTCTGGAGAAGTTAACTCATCTACTCAAAATTACATAATGTATTATTTCAATTGAGCCAGACTTGTTTTTTTTTTCCCTTTCTAAAGTTTTTTTCACATAAAAATAGAGGTGTCTCTTCCTACCTCTTTTAACACCCAAGTGTGTGTTGGATTCTTGTGCAACGCTAAGATGTTCATTATTCTACGGTTGCAGACCTTTCGAAACACATCAAGAAGTATTGATCATCACACGACTATTTTCTTAAGATCAAATGAAATGGTTATTCGTCCACCCAAATCTTTCAAAATGATATCAATTCAAATTGGGCTATATCAATCGATGGGCTCGAGTCTAAAACACTTCCCAAATTAGATATTTGTAGGTCGGGTCAATCAACTTGGGTGGATCTCCTGGCCTTTGTTATGATATAGCTAAATTATGATAATTTGTAATAAGTTACACTAAATTAAGAATTAACTTAGGGTTTGTTTGAGAAAAAAATAATGGAAGATTTACAGACATACCCTTCAATTCATATGTATTTGCATATCTAACACTTAAGCCTCGGCTTTAACATATATACACGTATACCACCTTACTTATGCATGAAACCGTACATTTCACTTTCTAAAACTTAAAATAACACTATTTTCTTATGCAATACGAAAGATCTGCGTGATATAAATGTAAAAAGAGTAAAGTTAATAGGATAGATTTGTAAATATATAGAAATTGGGCTGTATTAAAATGTAACAATAAAATAATTATGAAATAGATATGCAGCTGCGAAAGTTGTCTCAAATAGACTTCTATTCCCAAGTATTCAAATATTTAAATGATTTTTTTAATTTTTTTTTTTTTAATATTGCGTTTTTCTTTTTTTGGCGTATAAGCTTATATATATATATAGATAGAGACCGAGAGA